AAGAACCCTTTAAAGAGCCCTTTAAGAACCATTAGCTAAGTCCCATGATCCTTTGAGTAGAATCTTATAAACCTCTGGGTTCAGGCCCTCAGGTTAGCTTAAAGGATTCCTTTAAGGGTTCCTATAAGGATTCTTTTAAGGGTTCCTTTAAGGGCTCCTTTAAGGGCTCCATCCTTTAAGGGCTCCTTTAAGGGGTCTTAGGGTCGAGGGCTCAGGGGTTAATTCTTGCTTTAAGGGCTCCTTTAAGGGTTCCTTTAAGAGTTCCTTTAAGAGTTCCTTTAAGAGTCTTAGGGTTTAGGGCTTAGGGTTTGTTCCTTTAAGGGTTCCTTTAAAGGGTCTTAGGGCTTAGGGTTTAGAGGGTTCCTTTAAGGGTCCCTTTAAGGCTAGCTCCCAAGGCTCCCCAAAACCCCCTTTAGGGATCCTTTAAAGGGGATGCATGGGGGCTCCTTTAACGGGATCTATAAGAGACCTAGGAGGGGGTTGAGGGATGAGGGTTTAGGATCTAGGATCAAAGGTCAAGGCTCCAAAACCCCTGTGGGTCCTCATGTTACCTTTAAGGGTTCCTTTACGGGTCCCCTGAAGGGATCTAAAGGGGGTTGAGGTTTATAGGGCTCATAGGGTTTAGGGTTAACGTTTTAAGGTTTAGTGCTTAAGAGTTAGCGTTTAGGGTTTAGGGTTGAGGGTTTAGGGTTCAGCAACACCCCTTAATTTTAGGGACTAGGGTGGACGAGGGCTTAGGGTTTAGGGTTCAGCACACCCTTAAGTTGAGGGTCTAGGGTTTAGGCTTGTTGTCTGAACCCGAGCCAACGTGTATTCTGCACTTAAAGAGTCACTTCCAGTATCCACATAGATAGAAACCAAACACGACAGAACCTCTCTAAACACGTTCGCGGGCAATTGCAGGATGGATCAGCATTCATAACATCATGCCGAGTTTCAAGATTGCAATACCCTGATAGACTGCGTCGAAACCCACACACATCCTCAGAAACACCTTGTCAACCATGTCAAAGCCCTCTTGTAAGCACCTCTGAACAGGGCTTGCAAAGCTCCTGAAGACCCGGCTAAACCCTGAACCCTAAACCCTTACATTTCCAACCCCTTATACTTGGAGGGCAAGGGGACTTAGTAAGTGGGTTATAATTAGGGTTATAAGTGGGCAAACCTCATTTAAGCTACTTATAACTCTGCCTTATAACCTACTTACCAAGTCCCCTCGGCCTCTAAGTAGATTCCCCCTTGAACAGCCCTCCAACCCGAGACCTTCAACCCTGAGTCCTAAACCCTAAACCCTAAACCCTAAAACCCTGAAGCCCTAAGTCCGAGGACGTTACCCAGAGGCTCCATATAGGAGTTTCCGAAAATTAGGGGTTTAGGGTGATGTTTTATGAGGCTTCCTTAAAAGGGATCTATAAGGGTACTTTGAAGGGTTTAGTGGTTGGAGTTTCCGAAAATTAAGGGATACCTTATTTTGGGGCCCTTATAGTAAGGAAGGGTGCTGTATTGGGGTTCCCTATTTTCGGAAACTCCCCTTTATAGTACCACTATGGAATTAGGCCCCCAAGAGACCATCCATATCAGGGGTTTTAGGGACCTACTTCCAGAATGGTACTACATATGGAGCCTCTAGGTTGGAGAACCTTACGGTAACCCCTTGAAGGAACCTGTAAAGGAACCCTAAACCTTGAACCATGACCCAAAACCCTCAACCAGAAACCTTTCAGTAAGCCCTAAACCCTCAACCCTGAACTCCGTACGGGAACCCTCGAGGAACCTGAAACAAACTTGAAAAGCCTAAGTCCTAAAACCTTACGGTATCATAAAAACAAAACCTCAAAAGCATTGAAAACCCTGATAGCAAGCCTCAAAGCAACCACCCCTAGACGCCTTAACCCTAAATCCCGAACCCCAAAAAGCCTTAAAGCGACCCTAGACCCTGAAACCTAAAACCCTAAACCACAAAACCCTAAACTCTAAAAGCCCTAGAACCCTAAAACCCTAAGCCCGAAACCCTAAATCCTAAAACCCTAAATCCTAAACCCCTAAAGCCTCTTAACCCCTAAAAGGGCGCTAGAGGAACCGAAACCCTCAGCCCAAAACCCTTATAGATCCTCTTTGAACCCCTGAAACCCTTTGCCTTTCAGCTTGCAATCATATGCTCTCCCAAAGACTAACCGACCTACACAACTACTATCCTAAACCGCGTACCTAATGATCGGATCTTTTGGACCTTTAGGGACTCCTTAAAGGAAGCTTCAGTGAAGGTTAAAGCAATCCAAAAAGGGCCTCGGAGGGCCCCCATATTTAATCCTCATAATAGCCCGTATAGTAGCCCTTAAGGGAACTCTATAGAACCCCTTTTTGTGTCCTAATTATGAAGGGCCTTCTATCAAATGGCCTCGAAGGAGACCCTACAATCCCAAAAACCTAAACCCTAAACCCTAAAAAAGCCTCAAAGCCCCTAAAAAGCCTTAAAGTCCCCAAAAAGGAACCCTAAACGCTGAAAGCAACCCCACAAAAGGAACCCTAAACCCTTAAAGTCCCAAAAAGGGAACCAAAGGAACCCTAAACCCTGAAAGCAACTCCAAAATGGGGCCCCCTCATCCCTAAACCCTAAAAGTCCCCAAAAAGGAACCCCAACCTTAACGCAACCCCAAAATGGGGCCCTCCCCTGACGCAGGCGGTTTATTCCCTTATAGGGGAGTTTCGGGAAATAGGGGACCCTAATATAGTGCCCTAAATAGAAGGATCCTTATTATAAGGACCCCAAAATGGGGCCTCGGAGGGCCGGGCTTCCGAGTTGAAGCGGCCGGCGGCGCAGCCGCTGCAGCTGGAGGCGCCCTGGAGCTCGACCCCAGAGACTCCAATATCCCTAGGGGTTCCTTTAAAGGGATCCTTCAGGGTTCCTTTAAGGGATCTAAAGGGTTTAGGGTTTAGGGGACTCCAATATCCCTTAATTAAGGAATATACCTTAAATCATATTAGGGATCCTACTATAATTGAGGGGTTTAGGTTTAGAGCTTAGCCCGACTTTTTGAATCGGCTCCTTAAAGGGCTCCTTAAAGGGATCTATAAGGTTCCTTAAAGGGATCTACAGGGCTCCTTCAAGGGATCTATGGGGACTTTTTGAAAGGGGGGCGCCCTTAAGGGTTTCAGGGTTTCGGGTTTTAGGGTTTCGGGGTTTGGAGTTTAGGGTTTAGGGTTTCGGGTTTCAGGGTTTAGGGGTTTAGGTTTAGAGTTTAGCCCGACTTTTTGATAGGGCGCCCTTAAGCGACTTAGTAAGGGCTCTTAAAGGGCTCCTTAAAGGGATCTATAGGGTTCCTGAAAGCACGGGACTTCGTAAGTAGGTTCTCAGTAGGGTTAAAATTGGGGTAGCTCCATTTAGGTTACTAATAACTCTACTTATAACCTACTTACTAAGTCCCCCTGTCCTCTAAGTAGGGGTTCCGTTAAAGGGATCCATAGGGCTCCTTTAAGGGGATTTATAAGAGGTTATGGTTTAGGGAGGATTTGGGGGTTTGCGGTTTCGATTGCAATTGTAGGGTTTTGGTGTTGGGGGTATAGTGTTTGGGGTTTTAGTGTTGGGGTTTTGGGGTTCTGAGGAGGGACTCCAAAGAACCCCGAAGAACAGAGTATGAAACCCTTATGTGACAATCTAAGTGCCTGGCAGCCCTCTTTGCAAGGGCTTTAGCAGTTTTCACGGGCTTGAAGCAAATCTTGCAAGGGCTGTAGCAGGCTTGTTCATAATCTAGGTTTCTGAGTACTGTAACCCCTTTATGATAAGGCTACCCTTTTTCCTACTGTTCGGTTTTAATAAGGGGACCCTAAACTAAAAAGGGCAAAACGGCACTACTCAGGAACCTAGTAATGGTGATATTGTGCAGGACCTGTCATCTTTCTTGCCCGGGCTGTAGCAGGCTTCATATGAGGGTTTCCGAAAACTAGGGGTACCTTGTTTTGGGGTCCTTACAGTAAGGATCCTACTACTTAGGGTACTATGTTACGGTCCCCTATTTTCGGAAACTCCCATATAGGTCGTGGAAGCTGTTCATAGGTTGTTGTACTTGACGAGGGCTGCAGCAGTCTCAGTGCGGTTGTAGCTCAGGCCGCACCTCCCGTTACAGGAACCCTGATAGAACCCGTATAGAACCGCTAAAGCCTTAAAAGAACCCTTATAGAACCCTACTTTGAGGCCCAGAGGGCTTTGTAAGTAGAATAGAGTTATAAGCACCCTAAATGGAGTTACCGCAATTAGACGCCTACTTATTATAGCCGACTTACTGAGTCTCCTGGGCCTCTCTAAAATCCTAGACCCCAAACCTTAAAACCCTAACACCCTTAAAACCCTAAGCCCAACACCCTTGTAGATCCCTTTAAAGGAACCCTGACCCCTATATTACACAGGTGAGCCTCCCTGGTCGTCCAATAGCCCTTGGGGCAAGGAAGACCTCGGCGTGTAGGAGCATTTAGGGCTTTGTCTTTAAGGTGTAGAGTTCTGGGTGGTTTAGGGTTTGGGGGTGCAGCGGTAAAGGGTTTGGGGTTTAGGGCCTGAACCCAAATTTTGCAAAATCTTAAAGCATCTTCGAATGTGGCCTGGTTCACGGGTGGCTCTGCCAACCCTGAATTCTGAACTGGGAACTTTGACCCCGAAAGTGCCAAAGGCACAAGCAAGCTCCAGTTATTCTTCCCGGTACTCCGCCGCTAGCAGCACGTTTGCAATGTCCCTCTGACTGCGTGCACATGCCAGCATCAGAGGCGTCTGCCCACGCCGGTCCGTCACGGCTGTGTCAGCTCTAAACTCAAGGAGCAAGCACACCACAGCCAGATTGAAATGGGAGGCACACAGCCTGGGTTGTTCTTGGAGGCACCCTTCTTAAGAATGCGCTATACGACGTGATTGTCAATATCCTGATTGTTCCTTCTTAGATTCCAAGACGGAACTACTCGAATGTTATTTATAAAAGAAAGATCTACTCAACAGCGACTTAGAAGCAGGGCGGTTAAACCACGCTTGTCCGATACCTCCGTGTTGGCGCCGGCCTCCAACAGCAGTCGCGCGGTCTCCGGATAGCCATGACCAGACGCGCGAAGGAGAGCCGTCTGGCCTAGGACCCTACTTGGAAGGGCAGGGGACTTAGTAAGTAGGTTATAAGTAGAGTTATAAGTACCCTAAATGGAGTTACCCCAATTATAACCCTACTTATAAACGACTTACTAAGTCCCCAAATCCTAAACCCCCACATCCTAAACCCCCAAATCCTAAACCTCTAGACCCGAACCCCTGAACCCTAAACCCGTAAAGCCTAAACCCGGTTAATGCGCCAGGGTTGATCATGCCATTCTTGCGTACCCCAAACCCCTAAACCCGAATCCCTACAAACTAAACCACCCTAACCCCAAACCCGAAACCCCTTAACCTGTAACCTCAAACCCTAAACCCTACCCAAATATCCTACCTTTTTAATACTCAAATAAGGAAGTCATAATAAGGAACCCTAAAACCCTATCCCTCCAAGGACCTCATAGCTAGGGCCCTAGACCCCTTAAGGACCCCATAATAAGGTCCCTGGAGGGATAGGGAAAAGGTAGGCCACTCAGGGCGGCTAAGGATTTCAGAGCTGCTTGGCCTCGAGAGTCAGGGTGGTCCAGATTGGCACGAGCCTCCACGAGCCTGGGTTCTTGTTAAGGAATTTAAGGGTTCCTTCAAGGGTGCCTTTAGGGGTGCCTTTAGGGGTTCCTTTAAGGGTTCCTTCAAGGGATCTATAGGGACTTAGTACTTGGATGTTAAGGAATTCAAGTAGGGTTTAGGGTTTACGGTTCCTTAAAGTAAGGGCTCCTTAAAGGGATCTATAGGGTTCCTTAAAGGGATCTATGGGGTTTAGGGTTTAGGGTCTGCTTGGAGGGTCGGGGGACTTAGTAACTGGTTATTTTAAGGACTTATAAGTACCATAACCCCAATTGGGGTCCCTTTTAGGGTACTTACAAGTCTACTTACTACCTACTTACTAAGTCCCCCGACCCTCCAAGTAAGGAATTCATGTAGGGTTTAGGGTTTAGGGTTCAGGGTTTAGGGTTAAGGAATTTAATTCAAGCTACCATAATAGGGATCTACAGTAAATAATATGGTTCCCTTGTTATGGTAACTTAACTTAAACCCTTTGTCAAGAACCCAGAGGGAATTCAGTTTAAGTTACCATAATAGGGATCCTTCACTTTAAGGGTTTAGGTTTTCTCATTATGGTAATTGCATTTATTTAAGTCCCTTAACAAGAACCCAGAAGCAAGCGGACGACCTTCGCATGACCTCTGTCACAGCTGTGGACAAGAGCTGTTCCGCCGGCGTCCTTGAATTAGCCCGAAGGGTCCAAAGCACCCAATAATCATGTACTCGGGTTTCGAATAAGAGTCATGTAGTTTACTATTCTGGAGAGTATATGATAATTAGGTACTTGGACCCTTGGGGTAGGGTTCACGGTTTGAGGTTTAGGATTTAGGGTTGCTTGCGGGTTGAGGAGTTTATGGTTTATGGGTATAGGGTGGAGGAGTCTCGGGGTTTAGGGGTTTAGGGTTTAGGGGTTGGGTTTAGGGCTTCGGGGGGAGGGGTTAGGGGGTTCGGGGTTTAGAGTTCAGGGAATAGGTTTCATTTTTTGGGGGGGTTTAGGGTTGCGGAGTTTAGGGTTCATGTTTTAAGGTTCGCCAGTGTCCTGTACCTCCATGTCAGCCTTTGCAGCCAACAACAATCCCACCAGCTTCGCATTACCTAGCACACGGAAACCTAAACCCTCAACCCCTAAACCCTAAACCCTGGGATAGGATTAGACATTTACATCTTTATTCCTTGTTGGGTTCAAGTACCTATCAAAAGGCAAAATGTTACCCAACTATGACAAAGTTACCCTGGGATGTAGTTTTGGGGCTCTGAAAACTATTTATGAATAGGTACCTCTATAGGAACCATAAGGGAAATCAAAAAGTTACCCAAATTGCCACCTTGTACCCCTGCGAGCTACGCAGAGTAGAGCCGTCTGGCCAGCAGACGTCTCCATGTCTGCGTCTGCACGAGCGTCTAGAAGTAAAGCTGCCTAGGTTTTAGGGTTTAGGGTTTAGGGTTTAGGGTATAGGGTTTAGGGTCTAGGGTTTAGGGTATAGGGTTCAGGGTTGAGTAACCCCTTTATAGTAAGGCTACCCTTTTTCCTACTATTCAGTGTTAATAAGGGGACCCTAAACAAAAAAGGGTAAAAGGGCACTACCCAGGAACCTAGCTACAGTCTCAGGGCGGTTCCGGTGTGATGCACGGAAGAGGGCTGTCTCGCCCTCCTTGTTTTGCAAGTCCCTGGCAGCACCCATTTCCAGCAGAAGGCGCACGTTCGACTCATATCCGTTCTCGGAAGCCAAAATCAAAGCGCTGTTGCCAGCACTATCTTGCAAGTTGGCATTAGCACCGGCTTCCAGAAGCAACCGCGCAATACTTGAGAAGCCTACAACACAAACGGACATCAGCGCAGTTCGACCATCCTCCTTCGTGAGATCTTTGTCCGCGCCAGCTTCCAACAGCCTGGGTTCTTGTTAAGCATGTTCATTCAAGCTCCCATAATAAGGAAACCACTTTACTTAATGTAGATCTCTACTATGGAATCTTGCACTAAACCCCAAACCCCGAAACCCCAACACCTTAAACCCAAAACCGATCTCTAGTATGGAAACTTGCACTAAACCCCAAACCACGAAACCCTCACACCTCAAACCCTACACCGTAAACCCCTAAACCCTAAACCCCTAAACCCTACAGCCTCAACCCTAAACCCCTAAAGCCCAAATTCCTTAAAATAGGGGCCAAGAGAATTACCAATACTATTTTGGGTGTTCGTTATTATGAGTATAGTAAAATGGGATCCCTTATAGAAGCCTTATAGATCCCTTACAAGCAACCCTAAAATCCCGAAAATCCCAGAGCCCAGCCGCAGACGCACAACTTCACCTTGGCGTCGCTCTGCCGCGCATGCGCAAATTAGTGGTGAACTCATTGACCAACCTGGATCTTCGCAGGGCTCCTTTAGAAGGTCCTTTAAAGGGATCCATAAGGGTTCTATACGGGGTTTAGGGTTTAGGATTTAGGGCTCAGGGTTTGGGGTTTTGGGGTTCTTGCTTTTAGGTTTTAGGGTTTGGGGTTTAATATATGGGCCTTAACAACTAGAATAGGGTTTTGGGGACAAGTTGTACAAAAAAATAAAAAGGAACTCCTACACTAGTATTGGTAGGATCTTCGAAGAGCTTCTTCAGAAGGATCCTTTGAAGGGATCCAAAAGGGTTCTATAAGGGGTTTAGGGTTTAGGGCTTAGGGCGTTGAGGGTGCGTTTAAGGGTTCCTTCCAGGGTTCCCTTAAGGGTTCCTCTAAGGGGCTCTTTTTCAAGTACAGGGGCTTAAGATTTAGGGTTTAGGGTTTAGGGTTTAGGGTTTAGGGTTTAGGGTTTAGGGTTTAGGGTTAGGGTTTGGGGATATGGGGTTTGGGGGTCCAGGGTCTAGAGACCCTAAACCCTAAACCCTAAAACCCTAAAGCCCAAACCCTGGAACCCTAAACCCTGAAACCCTAAACCCTAAAGCCCTAAACCCCAAACCCTAATGAACCCAGATCTTCCAAAATCATTTTCTTGGATGGCAGGATTCTGGACCCCAGCTCAAACCCTAAGCCCCAAACCCCATATCCCTTAACCTTAAGTCTTAAAACCCCTATACCCCAAAACGAGCCCCTTAAAGGAACCCTTCTAAGAAAACTTACAGGAACATCAATTAAGATGTTGGAAGATCGAGAAGCCTCCCTTGGCGTTCTTGTCGGCACCAGCTTCGAGCAGCAGGCTTACCATCTCAGCATGACCTTTCCTGAGTTCGTCTTAAGGACTTTAGGGGTTTAGGGTTTAGCGGATGGAGTTTAGGACTTTAGGGTTTACTCTAAGTTGCCATAGTTGGGATCTATAGTGGTTAGATAGTATAGTTTCATGAGGCTTCCTTATCATGGTAACTTTTGAACCCTAGACCCTTAACCCCAAAACCCTAAACTCCTATTTCTTCACTTGAAGGCCGGAACTTGAACCCAGTTTCCGGCATGCGGACATCAGAGGTGCGTTGGAGTTGCGCAACTGTGTGTCTGCATTTGGCTGGGCACCGGCAGCCAACAGCAGCCGGGCCAGCTCTGTATTGCCTTTCCTGGGTTCTTCTTGAAGAGAATTAGGGTTTAGGGTTTTAAAGGGCTTTACGGCTTTGGGGCTTATGAACTTTCAGGGTTTAGGGTTTTGTAGGGCCTTAGGGCTTTAGGGCATATGAACTGTTAGGGTTTAGGGTTTTGAAGGGCTTTACGGTTTTAGGGCTTCGGGTGAAGGCCTTCGTAAGTTGGAAAAGCAGAGAAAGGAATATGGCTCTCATATGGTTGTAGCCTAGACGAAACTTCCTAAGAAAACCCCCTAGACCCTAAAGCCTAAACCCCTGAACCGCCCTAAACCCCGAGAGCCTAAGCTCTAAACCGTCCTACGGTTGATGATATAAATCCTGCATTACCCAAAATATCGGAATTATGGCATATTTCTTATTATGGGTCATGCAGGATTTATATCATCAACCGTAACGAAACCCAGTTTCTCAGCTGCCAGCGACAAGGGCGTTTGCGACCTTCCCTTCATGTTTGGCGCTGCCCGTCGTTGCAACAAGAAATCCGCAACAGCAAGATGGCCATGTTCACACGCATGCAGCAGAGGGCCTTACTTGCTCCAAGGGGAAAAGGAGGGGCCCTTAATAAGGACCCCTAGGTATATACCCTTAATATAGCTATTATAAACCCATTATATAGCCCGTTATGGGGTAGCGGTCCCCATTAAGGGTCCCTCCTTTTCCCGTTTGACTTGCTGGACCAGGGGACTTCGCAAGTCGGTTAGAAGTACTTAGAGGTCGGGGGACTTAGTAAGTAGGTAGTAAGTCGACTTATAAGTACCCTAACAGCCACCCTAATTGGGGTTATGGTACTTATAAGTCCTGAAAATAACCAGTTACTAAGTCCCCCGACCCTCCAAGTAGGGATATAATTGGGGTAACTCCATTTACGGTACTTTAGCAGTTTGCTTCTAAGCTACCTGCTGAGTCCCCTGGGCCTCTAAGTAGTCATTAAGAACAGGGTTTTGGGATATACTATAGTAGATCAATGACACGGAACCCTGAGAAATGATGTCACTAATTATGCAGGCTTCTATCGGAAGCCATCAGAGGCTTTCGAGATTCCAGGGTTTCGGTTTCCATAATATGACCCATAGCATGGGAACCCTATTACGAGTTTCCTAAACAAACTAACTAAAACAAACTAACACGCCCTGACTTCCCATGTGCCTTAATATACACTTACAACCCTTGTAATTATGTTTATGACCAAAAACCTCTCTTCCAAGTATCTTTTTTTTTTTAAAGTGCACTGGTGTCTTTCTGGTTCGCACTGATCCAGTCAGTCACCTGCCACGCCTACGGGGCAAGCACTACCAAGCCACAGTCGTCCGAACGTTTACAATTCAGGACAGCTGTGGACATTTGGCTCAACGAGTTAGACACTGTCACGGCTACGGCTGCGTTCTCTAGGCCCCTACCATTATATGGGAGTTTCCGAAAATTGGTGGTACCTTATTTTGGGTCCGTATAATCAGGATCCTACTATTTAGGGTACTATATTAGGGTCCCCTATTTTGGGAAACCCCCATATCATAGGACCTTTATAGAAACCCTTGAAAGGACCTCTGACCCCTTTTCGATCGAAGGATCCCTTGAGAGGACCCTTAAAGGAACCCTTACAAGAACCCGTAAAGGAGCCCTTATTCCCCTAAACCCTAAACCCCAAGACAGGGCTTAAGACGGAACCCTAAACCCTAAACCTTAAACCCTTACCCCTCAACCCTAAACCCTAATCCCTCAACCCTCAACCCTAATCCCAAACCCTAAACCCCGAAACCCCGAACCCTAGACCCTTAGAGTACGTAGCGGCCTTGGCCAGAGCCGTCGCGGAGGTTCTGATCGGCACGAGCTTGCACCAGCAGTCTCGACATCTCAAGGTGGCCTTAAGGGGCTCCTCTAAAGGGATTCATCACTTGGAGGGTCGGGGGACTTAGTAGCTGGTTATTTTGAGGACTTATAAGTACCATAACCCCAATTAGGGTCCCTTTTAGGGTACTTATAAGTCTACTTCCTACCTACTTACCTAGGTCCCCGACCCTCCAAGCAGGGTCCCTTTAAAGCTCTCAAGGGGTCCATAAGGGTTCCTTTAAAGCTTGAAAGGGGTCCATAAGGGTTCGATAAGGGGGTTGAGTCAGGGTTTAAGGTTTTAGTGGTTTAGGGCTCTCTATGAACCCTAAACCCTAAAGCCCCTAAACCCTACAGCCCTAAGCAAAAAACAGTTGCTTCATGAAAAAAATTCTCCAGGTGGCCTTTCGCCGATGCTCGTGCAAGAGGTGTGCAACCAGAGCTTAACAAGGCTTTATCTGCACCGGTCTCCACGAGATATTGCTGCATATCCTGTGCTTTGTAGGAACCAGGGAGAACCCTAAACCCTAAACCCCTAAACCCTAAACCCTAAACCAGTATAGACTCTTAGATCTTGTAGTGAACCCAGCATCTGCATGATGGCTGCCCCGAATTCCTCTGCGATATGCCCCATTCTTGTCCGCATGTTTGTTCTCCCAAAGAACCTCCAGGAAGCGTAAGATGACGGGGTTTCGTTCTTTAGGGTCCAGGTCGGGTTTAGGGGCGCCTTTTATGGGTTTTCTTTAAGGGATCTATAGGGTTTAGGGTTTAGGGGTTAGGGTCTAGGATTCTGGGTTTAGGGCTTTTAGGGTTTTGGGTCATTGGGTTCAGGGTTTGGGGTTTGGGACTCATGGGTTTATGGCTTCGGGGGAATTTAGGGTTCAGGGTTTAGGGTTTAGGGTGTAGGGTTCAGGGTTTAGGATGGATTCACCGCGTGCACTTCCCTAGACCCTCAACCCCTAAACCTTTAAAAAATATCACCCCCGAAACCCGAGCCTTAGACCTTAAACCCTAAACCCCAAACCTTAGATCATAAACACTAAACCCTCAACCCGAAACCCATAAACCCCAAGGATCAAACCGCCCGAAGCCTAAATCCTACAGCCCTAAACGGCCCTTAGCACCCCTTAGAGGAATTCTGCAAGGAACCCTAAAAGGAACCCTAAACCGATGGAACATAGCTCTTAAACCGACAGAGTAGGATCTCAAGCAAACCAAAGTTATATTGTAGAGCCCTTATAATACCCTTACAACCAGTGGCTCCACATATACTACCATTATGTAATTAGGTCCCTAAAACCGGACCTTATTCCATAGTGGTAGTATACGTGCAGACTCTAGGAAAGAAACCCCGGAAGGAAGTCATAAAATGAACCCTAAACCCTAAACCATTAAAGGAATACCTAAAGGAATTCTTCATCATACCCTTAAAGGAAGCCCCCTATAGAATCTGTTTAAAAATCCCTTAAAGGATCCCTTAAAGGAGCCTTTAAAGGAATTCTAAAAACGAATTCTTAAATGGAGCCTTTAAAGGAAGGAATTCTTAAAAGAAATTCTTAGAATGAGCCCTTGTCAGCCTCTGAGTTCCTCAGGGCTCCCACGTCCAGTAGCATGTCCTGGGTTTGTTTTCAAGGAACTCATGAACAACCCCAAGTTTACGTGTAGGGTTTAGGGTTTTTTGGCTTTGTTCTCAAGGAACTCGTTTAACCCTAAGTTTAGGTTGGGTACAGCCGGGCCCCTGTAACAGTGACCACAATGAAACCCACAAAAAAAGCACAACTTCTTTATAAGGGGTTCATGCAAAACCTAGATTTACAATTGTCACTGAAAAAAATGGGTGCAGAAAAAATCATACATTTACAGTTATCCCTGAAGGACAGGGTGTGTCCCCATATGGATTCTGGTAATTTGTACCGCGTCTGTCGGACAAGCTTCTAACCAGCCTTTTGTTTCTGCCCCACTTTCCGACTATCAGTACCTGAAGGGGGGAGGAGGGAGGGGGAGGAGGGAGAGGGAAGGGGGAGGAGGGGAGAGGGAGAGGGGGAGGAGGGGAGGGGAGGAGGGAGGGAGAGGGGGGAGAGGGAGGGGGAGAGGGAGGGGGAGAGGGAGGGGGAGAGGGAGGGGGAGAGGGAGTGGGACTGCATGGTCTGCTAACCTGCCCCCGTTTCTGCCCTTTCTCTCTTTCTGTTTCTCCGTCCACACCTCCCACTGCTCTTTCTCTGTCACTTCTTCTTCGTGTCAGTTCTGCCTCCCTCATCTTTCTGTCGAGCAAGCTCAAAGCAGCAAGAAGCTTAGATCACCGATTCTGTCACCTGTCACAGTCTTTCTATGCAATCTGACATATGGTACGGTATGGTATGGATTTCAAGACTTGAGCGGTCTTCTGTTTACGAGTTTACGGTTTCGGATTGAAAGGCTGGATCCGCTACCGGATGTGCCGCCCTCCCCTGCCCTCCCGTCCTCGCCCAGTCCCTCCACCCGGTTCGGATTTGCGGTATTTCTGTATTTGGTGCTCCCTGAACTCGAGCCCGCGCCACCGGAGGGTTCTGTTTTGATCTCGATTTCGTGTTTCGGTTCTGTTTCAGAGTCTCATTGTCGGCTTCAGCATCGGTGAAGTTTTGTTAATTTGGGATCTCCGACTCAATCGGAATTTGAAGCACTCCAACGACAATGTTCAGACTCATGCAACACATACTGCATAGACACAGAATAGCTCAGCGCAGCAGCTCAAGTTCCGCTTGTTTTTCGCCATCAAGTCACATAGCACACGCTCCACTCTCCAACGGGCACAAGTGCTTCGCACGTTGTTGCAGACGTGTCAAGCTTGCAGTACGGCCACGAACCCTTGGAGCCAAGCCGCTTGGCTAACTCCCCGATGGCATACAATGAAAGTCAGACACTAAATCACGCAGCCACAAAGTGGCAGCAACTTGGTCAAGTGAATGCTGTGAATGTAGTACCTGACCTTTTTTGGATCGTATCAAGCCCCCCAAAACCTATCGTAGCCTACAGCCTATAGCCTATCGCCCACGGTCCAGCCGCATAGCATATGGCACTATGGGTTTATGGTTTATGACTGTATCACTGTATCACTTTGTTTCTCGAGCGCTACCACCAGGACACATGAACCACAGGACCAGTTTCACTGCACCGGTTATGAACTTATGTCGCCCCACGTGCCCAAGCCCATGCCCATTTACTAATACTGTAGACTATAGTATAGGCTATAGGCTATAAGCTGTATATTATATAATATAGTCTATGTTTCAATTATGAGCAATTCTAAGGCTTTGTGCTATAGGCTATAGGTTATAAGGGTATCGGCGGTATAGGCCATAGGCTATAGTATATGGTATAAGTATTGATCTCTGACTCTTACAATGACCATAATTTATCATGACTATTCCTTGTAGCCTGTACCTGGGGTTCTACCACGGTCTAGGGTTTCGGTTTCTGTTTAGTCGGCCCAGCACAAAACAGCAAGTCAGCAAGGCTTCTTAGAGAGCATACGTGGCCGGTGGAGCCAAACTAGACATGTGGGAGCACGCTGCTTCAAAAACTTCTGCCGTTCGGAGTGTTGTTTGGTGACACGCGAGACTCACACGCTTCTTGAGTGGCCTTCAATCACAAGCAAAACCGAAAAGATTGGAGATGGATGAGCGAGACCCGGGAGCCGGGAACTGTGTTCACGGTCTAGCCGCTAGCCGAAACCAAATGCCAAGTTGTCCATGGGCTAAGTTGGTCTGCGGCCTATGTCTAAATGCCATAGTCTGTCCGTGTCTCGCGAATGCTCAACCGGGTCAAGCAACCATCAGATGGAGCGACTGTCTCTGCGGCCGCACTCCAAACACAAAACCGGCGCAAGACACACAGTCTACTCAACTCAGAGCTCGATCAACAGGCACGGTCCAAGACTGGGCTTGATTACGAGTCCGATGGTGTGGCGACTGCTCCAGACCTATGCCGTGCCTACATCTATATTATATGCCTACATACTTAAATAACTACATATCGTCATCCGAGATTTCACTCTGATTCAACTGAAATCACGTAAAACGGACCTGGCCTGCAACAAAGCCCTTACTCTCACTTTGCCTCAGCCGCCTCCGTCAGCCAAGTCCACAGCGCTTTGGTCGGCTGGTAGCCCGATTTCTCCACGCTCTTCCGGAACCTGGCTGAAACGGCATACGATGTCCGAAAGAATCTACGTATACATGTATATGACTTAGACTGACTTCAACTCTGACTTCTACCACCCTATGGCCTACGACCCCATGGGTCATGGCTTATTGGGCTTTCTAGGGGTTCCCTTTGTGTTGGAAGGGACCTATGGACTTATGGATGATTTGTTGGGCACTGTCCGTTCCCCAGCTCTGGTGCGATCTTAGACGGCTACGAACGACCAGGACATATTGTACCTGTGGCACACTGCACACTGTTAGTCACACACACACACACCACAAAGACCCATACATATGGCCTATACTTACATAATATTCACCCAGACCGGACACCTTTCATACCCAGACCGTCAAGATCAAACCGACTAACATCGGACATGGAGCTCACGTGCAAGTGCTGCCCGCTCCCGGGCTGGACGGCCAGTCAACCGGAAGAGAATCAGGTTCAATCCATGCACGGTGGTGGAGTAAATGCGCAAAGCCCGAATCTCCCTCTGGCAGCTTTTCATCCTCCCAAGGGAAGCTGCCAACACCATGTTTAATCCCCCGAACTCGGATGCGAGGCCCTCGAAAATCCCCATCAACTTGACGAAGTGGTCGAGGTTTGAGCAGATTGCAGCGTGCAACTCTTTTTGGAACATGACTTGCTTGATGCGCTGGATGTTTTTGCTGATGATCCAATTGTTGTAAGACTCTGGAATCTGCTTGCTTGCTCCGATGAGGAACTTCTCGAGCTTGGCCAAAAAGTCTTGGAAGATCACGTCGTTGAGAAAACAGCTCGAAATCGTCTTGCATACGACGTCGAAGCTGTCCTTGTCGATGTAGGTCTCCAGCTTGTGCAGGCCCTTGACCAAGCTGGTGCGCAAAGGAAGATCGATTGCAACCATCGTTTCCACGAGTTCCTCAACGGACCCGGTGTCGCCACGCTGCAGGATCACCTGCACAGCAGCCACGGCTTGAACAACACAAGCGGTGCTATACATCTTCCGGCACTGCTGAAGCGTTGTCTGGTCCTCCTCGGACAGTTGCCCATAAGTTTGCACCATAGCCTCGAGGCCGGAGAGCTGCTCACTCGGCAGCACGTGATCCGCAGCTCGTACGAAAATCTCTGATGCGCCCTCTTGCCGGGTGTCTGGCAGGAATCGGGCGCCTGCCAGAGTCTTCCACCAACCCTGGTTCTGCACGCACATATCTCGGATTTCCGATGCCATGTTCTTCCAAACACTTGGCACGAGTTGGGTGACCACACAGCCCAGCACAGGGAAAGCATCGCCAGCTTCTGAGAGGTCCTTCTTTGCGGCAGCGGTCAGGGCATCTTCTGTCGGCGAAAGCACTTTCAAGGAGATGCAGAATTGCTGCATGGCAACGGCCATGTGGCGACTAGCTTGCCCCTTGGCCTGGACCATGTTTGTGCTACACTGGTCAAACCATTCCGAAATCGTCTTGGCATCGCTTGTGTTCGTGGACTGCAAAAGGTCGTGGAATGCAAGCATCAAATCCACCTGAGTTGAATGTGACCCATGTGAAACGCAAAGCCGCGCAGCAGCTGAACTCAGTCTCGCCATGACCCGTCGCAATCCGGACTGAACTTTGCATGCTTGTTGATGGTTTAGGGTTTAGGCTTTATAGGGTTTAGGCTTTAGGGTTTAGGGTTTAGGCTTAGGGTTTAGGGTTTAGGATGTCAGCAACTCAGGTGAACACGTAGATCTTGACATGCTCAGCTTGCCGTAGTGTGCAATGCGGGAACTGGATGCTCAACGAATCACAGACCCCGGAGAAGTTCTTTAGGTCTGCATCCGCCGCCAGAGTCGACAGCAAGCAAAATCTCTTGGTAGCATTGATCTTCCAAGCCGCATTCTCCATGCGCAACTCCTCTGTTGCAGGCAGAAACATGAAACAGACAAAAGCGCCCACCCGTGCACACACAGACACGCACGCACAAAACCTGACACACGAACACACATGAGGGTGTGCGAATAGCTTGTGAAATGAGTTTCCTTGGCAAGCCGGCTTGCAACATCATGACACACAGGTCAGGGTCTCTGGTCTCGGCAGAGACCGCGACCCTGATTACTGTATCCACTGTATCCCTTTTGCTTTAGTCCGTAGCCTACAGTCTCCATTGTAGTTCCTTTACCAATCTTCTGATTCAGATCCTATAGCCTATAGCCTATAATTTACACTTCCTACAATTTAAAAAATAGTTACGTACAAGAAAAACTACAATGGTCCTCGAGTCTAAATACAATACACGAGTGATGTCATTATCATTTTCAAAGTCACAATGATTGACGATGATGTCAAATGATGTCCATGTCAATGTCAATCGTGATGACTTTATGAGACAACAACACTACGGACTACGCAGTACTGCGGTAAAGCACTTCACAGGAGGCAGTACAATATAACACAACACAGACAATACTGTAATCATA